TATGTTGTGGCCTGATCATGAATATTTCACATGATAGGGATTTGTTTGACACTTTAAGAATGGAGTTAGAGTGACGTAATGTTGCATGAAGTCCACAGGTTGGTTCACTACTTCGAGTGACATTAAACTTTACCATTAAAAAATGCAGAAATAGCATATATTGAAGCTTTCATTCAAACCTACGTTTAAATCCTCAGCTAGCTTCAATGCAGAGCCAAAGATTTAAGCACAAACGTACCTTTTAACGAAGAAGCAACTGAAGTAAACATTTTCAGCACTCGCCAAACATGAAAGCATCACGCATACACACACGCAGACTCACAAAGATGTATTGACACACATCAGCGTTTATCATGTGTGTTGGTGTAGATTTATTCTCTCTAAAGCCTTCTGCTGCTTGTCATTAGGCCCCTCAAAGTGCGCGCCAGTGTGTGTGTGTGTGTGTGTACTTGGGTTGACGCCAGTTTAAAAGCTTTTGATAAGTGTGAAAATTCACCTTGTAGAGAGCCAAAGACTGACAGAAGAATATGAAGGGAAAATGACTAAAAGGGAGAATGAGGGAAGATGTAAAAGCAGAGAAGGAGCCAAGAAATGTGTGCGTGAAAGGGAGAAATTGGTTTACTTGTTTCAAGTATGAAGATGCAGAGAATACATTTTAGATCACGGCTTTCCTCCCTTAATTTACCACACATTTAGTTGCATATTGTGCAAGTCGGTGTGATTGAGCCTTTTACTGGGTTAGGGACCTTGAATAAGGTGACAAAGAAAGGGTGACAGAAGGAAGTCTAATGAAGAAGGAGGTGCTTTTGTGTGAGAGACAAATAGAGTGTGAGTATTAGGGAGAATAACATTCTTACTCAGCAGAAACAAAAAATACTCCCCTGGGGGAAACGAGTAGTTTACATGGAGACAGAGAGACAGAGAAGTGGATGCTTTTTACTGCCATGTACAACATTACTTTTGTACATTTGAAGTCCATATGTTCACTGTCTATATATATATATATATATATATATATATATATATATATATATATATATATATATATATAAGCATCTCAAGCAAACAATGCTAATTGTGTAGTTTTCAATCCGTCATGCTAAAATAACATCTGTGTTTCTAGAACAGAAAACTCTATGTGCATGTGAAAGTTCCTGAAATGTAGTCGCACAGCGTTTTCCAATATTATACTTCTTCACTACCACAAAACAAATCCCCTTTACCTCTGTTAAAGAAAAGCAATAATTTCCCCAAATAGCTTTTGAAATTTTTAGCACTCACTATCTTCAGAGTTACTTCTTCCCTAGGTGATATTTGCGTTCTATATGGAAATACTTACATTATATTCAAAGCAATAATTGTAAAAAGTAAAAGTAAAGTAAAAAAGTAAAAAGTTTGGTGTTCTAGTTCACCCAAATGTTTGGAATTTAACACAGATGGTTTTCACTGAGAAGCCTGATCATTATGAAACTGTAATATCCGCGAATTTCCCCTTATTATTTATTGTTCATACCAGAGTGGGTAAGGTTGCAGTGCCAAGAGCCCTTAGAGTGTGTCTTTCCTCGCTTGAGAGTTCTTCTTTTGCTTTGAAAGAGGATTAAAGTTGTTGTGTCTGAGCGAAACAAGGACTAGACTGGAGACTTTAATCAAAGCAATATGACAATGTTTATTTGTGACAAGAGCATTCTGTCCTGCAGTTAAACGTGCACGGACCTATTTCAAACTATTTAGCAAAGAAAAGTGCAAACTATTTAGTAACAGCAAAAAGCCAGGCAAGGGCAAAAGCCAAGGGCCAAGGGCCAAGGGCCAAGGGCCAAAGGCCAAAGGCCAAAAGGCACTTAATACAGAGTACGCTCGGATTATATAGTCTTTAAGAGCATTTTTGATTGGATTGACCTTTTGTTTCCTGTTTTTCTACATTTGACCCAAAGAGTGCGTGCAGCTTTTTAGCAACATGTTGTGTGATCCGGGCCATACGTGGCCTCCACTCACTATTAATATGCAATTATAAATCAAGTGTGATGATAGTTTAGCGTGAGCATGCATGGTTATATTTAATTCTCTTGCTTTAATCAAGTCTTGCTTTTTGAGTGCATGCACACAACATCTGCTACGTCCTGAGCCTTAAAATTATTATTTGGAAGTAAAGTGCAGTGGTTAAGTGTGATAATATGCTGTGTATGTTTAGCCATCTTCCAGCCTGACTTCCTGTGCCACTTGCCCCCCCCTCAGTCCCAGCTGACACTGAACTAAATAAAAAACTAAACTCAGCTAATCATTGCCAATCTTCTTTGCCCTGAAAAGCACCCAGCTGTCCTAATATAACTGCCACATTTAATTTCCATCAGGCAGGAGGTGGCAGTGGAGATTGAGGGATGAGAGTCGATTAGCGGCGGAGCGGGCCACTCTGACAGGGATGGATTTAAGTTTGTCCGGTCAGAAGTGCAAGGACTTGACATCCTTGTTGTCAACGCCCTAGTGGTTAAGATACAGCTTACTTTTCAACCATGCGGTGGGCCTTCGGGTAGTTCTCTTTCTTTCTATTGATTTAACTCAACCCACCCACTTCCACATCACGAGCACGAGCGCTTTGATTACTGCTGCTCTGGATGTTCCCATCAATGCTGCTCGGGGGGTGGAGGCGTGTGAACGGGTTTGATTGCATCCCTCCCTCCAGTCCACCTTATTTGCCTGCACATTGCACTGATTGGTGAGGGCTGATCGGTCGGTTTGTCTCGGTGACCCTAATGCCGCACTTGCATGCACAGAGAGACTCACAAACGGCGCTATTTATTTGGTGTGTGTCCTCACCAGACCCCCATGTGTTGCACCTGGCCTCTTATTATGTTGGGTGTCATTTGTCTTTGTTCACAATATTAGATAATTGCTCACCACCTGGCTGATTAGTGCTTGAATAAAGGGCCCAGGTGCACCCTGGTCTTTGTCTCTACAGCCTGTGGTTGCTGATTTCTTACCCACTTTTTGAGTGCCGGTGTTTTCTTGGCCTCATTCCTGTTATTCCCTTTGTGTCATTTAGTGCTGCCCCCGGCTCAGGGTCTCCTTTTTTTGTTACTTTTAGTCACAGTTTTTTTTTCCAACATGGGAGCCAAATAGGCTGAAAGGGGAGTCGGTGTGGGTTTTCAAATTTTTCAACAAAAAGAGTCAACAATCTGAACGATTAAAAATACTTGGTCATCTTGATTTTAACTTGTACTTTGTATTTTTGATGGTTGACATATACATAGCTTTTCACAATATCTTGTCTCACATGAAATATCTCAAGAAATAGACAATGACCTTTTATAATAACGTTATTTTCCGTCGTGCTTCACTTCATAAATCCCAGTCCCTGAAGAACTGCACTGTCCTGACAGAAATATTTTTCTTGACGTTAGGAAAACTCTTGTCTCACTAAGTAACTAGTTAATCACTGCGTTATCTTTGTTCAGGAAAACCTGAGGTGTTAGAAAAATGAGTGTGCGTACTTCCAAGGTGTGGGTGAAGAGGTATAATCAACAAGGTGTTAATTATTAACACGTAAAATAGAGAAAACGCTGAATATCGCACTTTGATTTTTAATGACAAGTCACCCACTCAGGTACACACATATACACACATGAATGTGTGTACCATGGGTATAAAGGGAGACGCTGTCTAAATTAATGATAGATCACACAAGGTGTTTATGGCCCATTCTTGGAGACTTTTGTATTTTCCTGAATGGTTGTTGGTTGGTGATCGTTAGTGAAATATCTAGTTTCTCCTAAATTCTTAGAGGGAGAGTTTGGATTGTTTCAAATGGGGTTGTATGAGCTTGTTTTCAGTAGTCTGTGTATATAACCTACAGTACTTCTAGTACACAGAATAACAAGAAGAAACAAGCAGCGGTTGACCAGCAACTCTCCTCCTGGCGGGGTCAAATGACCGTTTTTATTGATGGAGTCTAGTGGCTTTGAAGAGAGCACAGATGCTAGCTGACTGCCATCTTCTGGGGATAAAACTGTCTGTGGATAACTACAATGTGCGTGTCCAAAAGTATTTCCTCTTAAAAAGGTGGGTTGTGATTGTGGGTGGATGAGAAATGGAGTCTGTTGTGAGGTGTTACTTGTGAGGATTTGTATGTTTATCCCAGATTACACAAGAACAACACCTTTATTTAGAGCTCTCCTCTTTTTACAACACATGCAGCTCAAAGTGCACAAAGAAAATAAAGTAACACGCTTTAAACAGACTGTGTTACATTGAGCACAAAGAAAATGAAAGTGCAAAAATGAAAGCGCAAAAGATTGAGTTGCACAACAAAAACAGAACATTATACTGTGCACGTGTTGGTCCCTGAGCCCGTGCAGCTCGCACAACAAGCCTATTCCCTAATTGGTGCTGGAGCTTTTAAATTGTCTTTTGTTGTACTCATGGCCAAACAGTCTCCACAAAATGCTAATCTGAAAAATTCCCTACTTTTTAAAAAAGACAAATGGCAACAAAGTTCAGCATGAGAAATGTTCCTCTTACTTGCATCTCTCTCTGAGGGCCAATTGCAGATGGAAGTCAAACCCCGCCTGGTGGCAATTTATCGAGGATCATTTGATTAATTTGTTTGTATCATTCAGAAGTGTAATACAGAGAGGTCCTTGACCAAAATGTTGTCTCTTCTAAATCAGTGCATATAAGCTTAATTTGTGTAGATTCATACCAAATATGACTGAGGGTTATTTTCATTTTGTTAGACATGTACAAATCAGAGTCCGTTAATGTCACTTTTATTTTTATTGACGACGAGTTTCTCCCATGTGTGTGACTGCAGCTTGTCCCTCAATACTCAATAGACTAAAATATCTCATGTTGCTAAAAAAAAATGTTCACGTTTGTTCATTGCTAACTTTTTGCTCATGAAAAATAATACGGCTTTGTATTCGGGATGTATCCTTTGCAAAGCCCGACCTAATTATGTCTGAAAATATTATTGAACCGATTTCTTTTCCCTTTATCCTCATCATCAGGTAACTCACCCTCAGAGGAGTCCGAGGAGCGCGACAAGGAGCCCAGGACGCTGACCTACCCCGCGTACATCGCCAGTCTGCTGGACACGGGCGCCAAGCGCATGGCCGCCGGCGTCCGCATGGACTGCAACAGCCAGGGCCAGTGCCCGCGCTCCTGCCACCTCTGCCACATGAGCCCCAGGGTGGTGCAGGGGCGGCAGCGGTCCGAGCCCGTCCTGCTGCAGATTACCAAGGCCGCGCCCATCTACGAGCTGGTGTCCAACAACGAAACCTACCAGGTGTGTTTGCTGTGTGTGTCCCCATCCATCTAGGGATGGATGTGTGACTATGTATCGGATCTCTCCTGTACAGGATTCTAGCTTCCCTGTTAAAGAGTCATGGCAGCATTTATTGTCTGCATTGCAGCGAATAACACAATTGTTTATTAATTGGCAGCCATGAACTGTCTCTGTAAATGTCTGTGGTTTATCCGTCGGGACTGAAAAACGTGTTTGTGCCTTTCTGCCGTATCCTGCCTTAATCTGCAGCAGCGCACTATGCCGTAACTTGCCGTACCGCGCTGTGACTTATATGACATCATTTATACCCGAAGCAAAGGTTAATACAATGCTGCGAATGCACGCTATCAGAGAATCAACAGAGACAACAGACAGTAATTCTTCTAGTTCCAGGCTTTACTCTTAAAACAAAACAGCATAGGCAAGAGTAGACTTGACTCGCTGAGTGTCACGGTTTGGGTTCACGTCCTGTTTTTTTTTGTAGTTTTCTGCCTCTTGTGGGTAACTTCACTTCCTGCCTTGTCCTGTCATCCCCCTGTGATTGTTGTGTCATGATTGTTTCCACCTGTGTCCAATCACCTGCACCTCCCTAGTGTATTTAAGCCATGTGTGTCTCTTGTCACTTGTCGCGTCAATGTTGAATGTCCGGAAGTCCATGTCAGAGTGTTCCTGACTCTTGTCGGCGTTTTTGCTTTTGGAGTTTTTGACTATTAAAGTCTTTTAGTTTCAAAACTCTGCATTTGAGTCCTGCCTTCAAGTATTGCTATCTCATATAGAATATTTGCAAGGTTAAGCAGATGTTTGTTTGCTCTGTCAGCAGTTTTGCAAGAGTTTGCACTCTTAACATTGTTAGCACTCATCCCAGGAAACATTTATTGCCAAAATATGTCAAACATACAAGGAATTTGTTTTGGCGAATGGTGTGTGACAGTAGACAGTGTAACAATAGACAACAAGACAGCAGTGCACAAGTAATAAAATAAAATGAAATGCTAATGCAATGGGTTAGTAGAATAAGGCTATGGGTTAGTATAAGACAAGAATAAAGTTAAAGTTAAAAATTAAAAATATTTAAAAAGTTAAAAAATAAAGTGCACTATCGAACAAATTCCCGGATGTGATGTAGCAAAGTGAAGAGCTTAGTTTTTAACGTTAGTACATCGCACACTGCCGCACAGAAGTCGACGTTTGCATTTCATAAATTGATGTGCAGTGGAAGTCGGCGAAATTCTAGAGCGGACTATTTCTTATTTTTTCATTATACCTTTTCATGGAGCAATTGCAGCCCCTGCTGTACAGAGGTGTGTGTTTGGATGCGGAGCCAAAGCCAGGACTGATGGTGCTGTGAAGTGAATTGCTTCACAGAGGAGAGCTGTGACAAATCTATATCCCGAGTGACATAAAAGTCCCATTACCCGTGTCAGGACCACATATATGCACAACACACCAATGCCAATGTCTTTACAGCATTCCACTGATCTAAGGGCTGGCCAATACAGGGAGGACAAGAAACTGTGCACTGGTAAACATAGATATAAAGGGTAAAACAACGGCATTTATTGAGAGCTATTTCAGTCTACCGAGCACTCACAGCGCTTTTTATCAACAAATGCCAATATTCACCCACTCTGATGGCAGAAGCTCCTAGCGTGAGGTGCCAGCCTGCTCATGAGGAGCTGTTACGCAACCACTCTACCTCCTGAGCCATCAACAGTGCTGGATTTGGGAAGGAAGACACTGTGCACATTTGTCAGAGCTTGATTGAGTGATCTAACTTTTGTTCATTTGTATGAGAACATTATGTCTGGAGTGGCCCAGTTGTAGATTTTCATACCTGGTGGTGAAGACACTGCATCCTGTTAGAAATGCCATAATGTCACATATAGAGGTTGTTTAATCATCAGACTTATGAAACAGTATTGACATGTAAATATAGCTTCTTCCAATATAGCTTGTGCTTTGACATTTAGATTTAAAGTTGGCTTTGGTATGTTTTGTTGTTCCTAACTCTCTCTCTCCATCTTTTTAGTCTCTACAGGAAGCGATGATGAGCATGCTGTGGTGTTCTGGCAAAGGTGATGTCATCGATGACTGGTGTCGGTGCGACTCCAGTGCTTTCGGCTCAGACGGACTGCCCACATGCGCCCCACTTCCCCAGCCAAAGTTAGTAACTTTACACAGTGAATGCACATCACAATGCCCGTGTAACAGATTGTTATTGCGGCCAAATATTACAGCTAGCATAAATGGCTAAAAGTGAGGACAATTACAGAGTGGGAGTTCCAGTCAGTTAAATAAATACATTTATAAATAAATAAATCTGCAGCATTGATTGGTCGGCGTGAAAGCCTATGGGCACATGGATCCTGACGCTACGTAATATTGCAAATGTCTTTTCACCGAGTTCTCCGGAGCACCGGGAATAATGTCAGTGGTCATGAGACCGGCTCACTGGCTGTCTCTCTGTTCCCAGGCTGAAGCTGTCCTACACCTATGAGCCCAGCAGCTCATTGGTCATCATGGAGTGGAACCACACCGAGCCCCCGATCGGCGTGCGGATCGTGGATTACCTCATTAGCCAGGAGAAGGTGACGGAGAGGACCGACCACTCCAAAGTTGAGACCGGTACGTCGGCCCAGAGCTTCCCACATGGAGAGTTTTTTTTCCCGGTGATGGTGATGATTGAGCAAAAGTTGGAAATTATAAAATGGGCTCAGAATGGGCTCCCAGAACAATAGGTGGAGTAACGTTTTTTGTCGAAGACGACCTAGAGAGTCACGTCTTTGTTTGTGAAGGTTGTTGGCTTGTTTATTTATTTATCAGAGACTTTTTTGCCACTGCTGCTTTTCATCACGGACACATTTGTCCCGTATTTTCTTCCACAACTTTGTGCACTTCTCGTGGACGTTTGCGAAGATCTCCCTCCATGAATCAGAGGCCATCCGCGCATCCTTATAGCCCGCCAATGACGGGTTGTAGGGACACGCACGGGGGTCTTGCGTCTGCGTCGCTCAGAAAACGCAGAAGCATAAACTAGGCTTCACTCAGTTCTAGTTTTTAAAGCCTCCACAAGATGGCGATGACAAGTAATAATGTTAATGGGAAAGTATTCATTACACTATTTGTGTATGAGCGTGATGACATACAATAATTTGTACTGAAATGATGTAATGCAGTGTTACTATAGTAATTGCTTTCGGAGAGGGGAGTCATGCGATTTGTCATATTGGTTGAGACAAATTAGGTGTTTGACAATGTGACAGTCAAATATTGTTTAGCCTTGTTTAATCCATATGCTTCAGTGTTTTGCTCTTCTGGTATGTTTCCCCTTGTGTTTTCACTAAACAGAGGAAATGTAAGCAGCCACAGGAGGTGTGTGTATCTGTGTGTTTGCATGCCGCTCTTTCATCCACAGCAGACGGACCTGTATGAATAGGAGCAGTTTCTTTGAGCAGTAATGAACCCGATCCATAATGGAGACTGTTATGGTTCCCTGCGATTACCAAAGTTTGTTGTAGTTTAATGAGAGAATAAACTGTATTAGTCGGAGTGGTGAGCATCCTTAATCATCACAGCATATGCAGATGTGAGGAGAGGACCGCTTTTTCTTCATTAGTGCTGTTAGCGAGGGAGATGAGCTATGAGATGCTGCAGTCATGTTCTTTATAGCTCTTTGAAATAACTCAAAGCCAGTTTTTTCATGGGTTATTTCTATTTATTTATTAGACAAAAGAGGAGTGTATGTAAATCGAACTGCCGCAGAGAGCAACATATTAGTTTGCAGGACTATCCCTGACTCCATCTAGATCATTGGTTCTCAAATACCCACATTTTAGTTTTTGTGTTTATAAACTGAATTTTGTTTTCAATAGGCAATAGGTTAATGATCCTACAAATACAGTCTCCCCCATACAGTGTCCCTGGGTTAACTTACCTTCCTCCCTTGGTTTGTATTCTCCCCTCTGTGATTTTCGGCCATGTCGCTGTTTCTTCCTGTGTCCAATCACCTGCACCCGTAATGTGTGTCCCTTGTATCCTTGTTGGGTTCTTAGTTTATTTGGGTAGTCTTTGTTCCTGTTGCCTCATCCTGCTTTCACTTGCTCCGAGGCATTTTTGTATTTTCAACAAAATAAATCAGATCTGCGCTGGTCCTGGACACCCTTGACCATGATGGTTTGATCCAACCAGGTACACATCACCTGTCAATCACTGCTGCCTTGAAAGACGATTCAATATGGAGTCATGGTTGTAGCATAAAATGCTGTGCACTGGTTAGGGGCTACTCGTCTGGAAAGATAATTCACAAGGGGTACACCACAGGTTGAGAATCGCTGATCTAAATCATTGCTACAGATGTTCTAGAAAAGTCTTACAATAGTCAACTTGAAAAAAGGAAATAATAACATTTATTATACTGTCATTCAGTCTGTCGCTGCATGGCTCCATTAACCTCGTTGAATACACATACAGAATTACAGGTCATTTAGCTGACGCTTCTATCCAAAGCGACTAACATTACATTTTTAACCCATGGCTTTTTATATTTTTTCCTGGGGAGCAATTAGGGGTTAGAATGATTGGTTTGTTCCCTGTTTAATGCCTGGCCTCACTGCTCATTATGTAACATATTTGCAGTATCATCTTGAAAGTGGATGAGCACAGTGTGCCTCTCTTGATGGCTGGGCCTCATCATTGCCAACCTACATCATGTCAGCTGATGCTGTTGTTTCAGTTTTACACATTCCTGTATTTCAAACTTAATTACCATCTATCACAAATCAAAAAACTATATAATTAAATCTGGGGCTTTTACGGCCCACGGAGATTTGAGGGCCCACTGCCAGCGTCGTAATCCATCTTCAGTCAACCAGTGCTTCTTCCAAAGCAATGGAAGCTGTTCCATCAGAGGAACCTCTGTGCTAATGTATAGTGGGTAGATTTTCTTCCCAGGGAACACTGAAATATCACTTTAACCACAAACAGGACCTTTGAGTTTTCTGTTTTGCAATTTTGGAAAGTTCTTCCTTTGCCCTTTTAACAAGGTTACCATTACATCTGTATTCCAAGCCCCTGAAAACACATGATTGTCCAATCCCCTAAACAGAAAAGATGAAAAAACGTTGGATACCGGGCATGACTTTCTGTGGTTGAGGGAATATTTTGGGTGCCTCAGTGCCTTAACATAATGTCTATAAAGTTCTTCTCTTGCCACAAATCAATCTTTTGGGGCTTCAGAATGGTACTTTGGTAAAGCAAGTTTACAGTTTTTGGAAAGAGTTGATTGTGGTTGAAAAAATCTATTTCCTTGTGCCGCAAACAGGAACTGCTGAATTCTCGAGTACAGATTAAGTCGTTGCTGCTAAGACAACTTGCTGATGTCGCTCTGCTGTTATAAGATGTTGGTTCTTCCACAACTTTGGAAGACAAAGACAGGGATATACCAATCAGAAGCTCTCGTATCAAACTGTAACTACCATGGAGCTTGTGGCGTGATTACCTGGAAATTAGCACCGGTACTGGGGAAGACTCGCAGGACCTGAGGTACAGAAATATTCCACCCAGTGAATTCTTCCGGTCATCCTGAGCTTTTCCAGTCTATGACTTCCGTTGCACTCTGATTAAGACAATGCGAGTTTCCATGGTTCCCTTTAACCATCCTCATTAAACTAATGGGGGATACTTTCTTACACAAGTCCTTACTCTGGCTTCAGCTCCACACAAGGGTCATTTGTTACAAAATGTTCCAGCCAGCTCCATAGCTAATCACTTGCTCGTTCGAGGCCCCGTAAAGGATGGCATAGATAGTCTGGCACGACCTCATCGGAAAAACAGACTCCAGCCTCTTCATTAATTGCTTCAAAACGAACTCACAGGCACACCGCTTGCCCAGGACGTACAATTCGTCACTGCAAAACCGAAGCAGAGGATGAATTTATCAGACTCCACTTGTTTGCTGCCTAAAACCCCATTTTGTCCGCTCTCCTCCACAAGAAATGCATGACATTGCACTGTTAAAAAGAAGAAGCTGAGTTTACAACTATATTAGTTATGCTGCTTAAGCATGTCTATGAGAGTAAAAATACTTTTAATATATATTATACACTTGTGCCTTTTGGATCTTCGCTGTTCTTTTTAGCAGAATAAGTTCTAATTCTTAATTAAGTTAGTGAATATGTCTGGGCCATAATACTGTGATAGTCACTAGTGTATCTTTATCCAACACATTGTCATTGTCATATATATATATATATAATTATATATATATATTATATATATATACACACATGGCAGTAAGTCTGGCAGGCAAAAAAAGGGAAACCCTTATCAGTCACCATCCACACACTTCTTAAAGTCAAGCTTGGAGCTAAATGATTTTGTACCACAGTTCAAAGCCATCGCAACAATTCTTAGTTTGTCTTTTTTCTCGAACAAATGATGGCCACGGAACAATCTGTAAACAGAGCACTGACGGATTATGAAAAACGTGATTATTATCAGAGTTCATTGGAGCACTTCAGCCCACAAACGGCTGGTGCTTGAAACCTTCATGAGAGCCACGAGACTCAATCTACAGTGTGACTGCTTTGGAACCAGAACAAGGAGCTGAAAGCTGCTAAATCGCTTTTCAACACAGAGGTGCAAACTATGTTTTTGTTCAATACATACAAAAGGCACTCATGTTAGCCACTGTTGCTTTGGATTCCAATTTGATCCTTGGCAATTGGTTGATTATCAGTGCAAAGGTTTAGCCGAAGGGAGATGTGAAGGTTTTGTTGGTGTTGGAGAGATCTTGAGGCAGTATGTACCAGCACAGGTCATGTACCGAAAACACAGTCAAAATCAATCATTCCTTTCTTGCTTTGCACTAATATGCACGATGAATGTGATTTGGCCCTAAGTTTAGTTGCAGAAGAAGTGTTGAAGTTGTCAAACAGCTGCCTCTCGGTGCCATTTGGACTCTCCGCTCTACGGAATTGCCCGGCCCTGCTCTTATTACACTGAGTGGAAGCTGTCCAGCGCAGGTCGGTGGGCCTCGGCTGTCAAGGGAGATGGTAAAAGAAACATAATGGGGCCAGAGTTTGAGAGCTTCCCACCTGTGCATGTGATCTTCTAACGATTGATCAATTTGGAGACCTCACGCTGAGGTAGGGGAGAAAGAAGACCACCGAGGGGGAGAAGATAAGTGAAGGAAAGAGTAGAGAAAGGAGGGTGATAGACAGATGTGGGAGGATCTGGACAGCCAGCTGAGCGGAGTGGTTTCAGTCTTCTGTCATCCCGCAGAGTGAGTCTTTCATGGGCTGATGTATAATTCTCCACAGATCTTTTCCGCCTCTCTCTCTGTCCCGGAGCGCTTTGCTTTTCCTTTACCACTCTCTTGTATTTCCCTCATCTCCTCTTTGTCCTCTCATTGCCTTTTCTCCCTGTGTACTTCTTATCTGTTATCTCTCTCATCGTCTCTATCTCAGTTCTTTCAGTTGCCCTTTCTCTGGTCTCCCTTTATCTTTACTTCTCTTGCTTGTACTGTCTCTTTCCTTTACTCCTTTCCCTAATTCTTCTTGTTTAATTTATTCCCTTTTTTCAACACTGTCCTCTTCTTTTCAAATTTCCTTCTCCAGTCCGGCTCA